AGGAAGAAAACGCTTTTAAACCCTGAACTGGACTCTGCATCAAACATGCGCAGAACTGAACTTTATGGCTGTTTTTATAATGAAAAAATAATAATTATTTAACTTTATTGATCTCACATTGGAGAAATTCCCTCTCTGCATTTAACCCCTCCCCTTGGGGAGCAGTAGGCTGCCATTGTGGGGCACCCAGGGAGCAGGGTGGGGTTTAGGGTCTTGCTCAGGGACCTAGAGTGTCGAGCTGGGCATACAGGGTGTGATATTTTATATCACACCCTGTATGTTGTGTAATATAACATCCTTAGACACTGTTTTCTAGTTTCTAACGATTAATATATTAATGAATCTCTCATACTTTACTTCAAAAATGCCTGGTAGAGAGTTTATTTGTTTTTTTTTTTGTTTGTTTTTTTGCTTTTTCAGGTAGACCTATCTTTCCCAGTATGTTCAAAGTTTTTAGTTGTTATTTATTTACCTTTGTATATTATTTCTATAATTTTGTACACACAAAAAAAATCTACTACTGTACTGTAATGCTCTCACAAAATGGAAAATAAAAAATGTCAACAACAAAAAATGTTTCCAGATTTAGTCTTTTTTTCCTTAAAATAGTCTTTTTTCTTAAAATAAGTTTTGTTGTTTTTTAATTGAGGAGGTAAGTGAGACACTTTGCCAATGGAAAAGGACAATTTACATTTAAAATTATTAAAAAAAGCATTGCATTGTCTCATTTCCATTGCCATATTATCCATTTATCTTATTTTAAGTGTAAACATATTAGTTCCATTGGCAAATCATCTTATTTATCTACTCAAATTTAGGGTAAATACACTTAATTTAAGTTATTATTTACGTATTTCTTTATAGTTTTTGCAGGGTTTGTTTGCAGTGACTGCTTAGTCACAAGGAAACGAGACATCTGGGAAAATTTAATGTGTCGCCACATTTCCTGTGATTTAGGCTTGAACTTTGACTAGGCCACACCCCTCTCACATGGTTTGGTTCCTGTTATCACAGCTCCAGTTTTATGTTTAGGTCTATTGTCCTACTGGAAGGTAAATTCTCAAGCTTCCCCACCCTGCTTCGCAATAGTGTTCCCACAGCATGCCGCTGCCACCGCCTTGTTTCCCTGTCTGGATGCTATCAGTGCAGAGGGTAATGAGCAACATGTAGTATTTATGATAAAAGCTCAGCTTTGCTTCTAGCCCACCAGATCACCTTCTTCCCTACATGCCTCACACTTTTTTAAAGTTAAAATAGAAAATAAACTTTGCATATTTAATGCACCTCAACATAAAGGGACTTTTCCTAATCAAAGTGTTTTTATTTCATCTATACAGTTGACATTTTAATGGGATGAAGTTTTGTTTTTTTAGCCACACATAGACATCAGTGGGTGTCCACATATTAAAGTTTCCTCTCTGAGAATTGGATGTGTTCTATTATAGAAATGTTGGCCAGATGTGCTCCTCGCTGCAGGATCTCATGTTTCTAAGAGTGACGCAGCTTTTCATCTTCTTTCTATGACCTGTTTTAAATGTAGTGAAGAAAACAAAGTCGGCTTTTCTACGTCATGTAATTTCACTCTGAGCCTCTGTAACAGGACGCTTTTAGTAACATTAACCTACAACAGCAGCTTCAGGTTTCATTGGAAGGCAAACATACAAGAATATCCGGCCTCACATGCCTGAAGGACTTCACCTGAGGAAGGATGTCAACCTGTCATGTTGCTTTTGTTTGACTCCTAACTGTGTCTGCTGCATTTTATCCTCTTAGATTTAAACCTAAATGTGTTTGTTTCAGACCAGAAGATGTGAGACTTTTTTGCTTCTGGCTTCTCATCCTAAATGCATCAATTCTCCCTCCATTGTTTTGTCTGCCTCTTTCTATGCTTTGCAACTGCTCATTCAAACCTTAAAGAAACCAAACCCACAAATGGAAAATAAAACATAACCCCTGCTGCTCCAACCTGTCTAACTTGCTTCCCTGTGCCTCTTTTTTCTTGCTGTTGTTTGTGTGAGCAGACGTAAAGCAGATTAATTAGTGCAGAAGATCAAACAACCAACAGCAGAATCCACAAAAATCCCCACCTAGCCTTTTCTCCTTCTGAAACAATTAAGAAGCTCCCAATCTGTCTAGCACTTGCAGCTCTATGACATGTGACCACCCTGCCTGCAGTCACCTTATCAGGAGGGCAAAGGTGCAACTCCTGTGGGAATACCCTCACCATCTGCTTATCTTATTAAAATCAGAGCCTCCTGTTTGCTGGAACGGTTTTGGGGCAGATAATGGGCCTTTTAGCGTCCGCTTCTGGGAGAAAATGAACAACCGGTGATTCTGAGTAATATGATGAGGGGCTGAGGTATGTTTAAAATCAGTCAGGCTATAGAAACATACAATGAAATCATGAAAACTTAGACAAACTTTACTGTTAAAATGACATTGCATTGCATATGGCTTCCAACAGTGTAATGGGAGGCATTTGAAATAGAATAACACAAAATAAAAAAAGGAGCAGTGATAAAAATGTAACAGTGAAGGAGATTTAAAAAAAATTGTCCTGTTTAAAACTTTGGCCCAAAACAATATTTTAAAGGTAAAAGGATGAAATAGAAAAAAGGTTTTCTTCCATTCTGGATTTTTAATTAATCATTAGTTTGAACTCTTTAACAGGTAACATTAGTGGATGTTTTTTTTGTGCGCTTAGACTGACCTCTGGTGGTTTTATCAATGCAAACTTTAGAAAGTAGAGCATAAGTCGGAAGAATCTGTGAAAATAATTGACTTATTCTGATAAAAGTAAATGTGTTTAATATTATACTTAAATTTCCTGGTTGTGTATTTTTAAAACTTTTACCGTTACATTTTTTTCTCTCAGTGTTTCTACTTTGAAATGAGACCGGAACCAACAAGTGTTTCTTGTTTCCTCCGGTAAGCGGACCGCTGCTGGAAGGAGCAAATCAAAATGGCGAGTCAGGAGGAGTCAGTGAGGGAGTTCGTTGCTGTTACCGGCGTAGAGGAGGAGAGGGCCCGCTTTTTCCTGGAGTCCGCCGGTTGGAACCTGCAGGTAGAGATTTTCTGGGGGGTTTTCCTCCAGTTTTCTGGACCCGACCTGCGGTCGGTCCCCGGCAGACCGCGGCTTTACGGTGGGATGTCTGATCAGTAGCTTACCGGCTAACATTAGCATCTGCCTCCAGTCATTTGTGCAAGTCACCGCTTGGCAATGCAAAGCCGCCTGCTTTCTCTCACCAAGAGAGCAGGTGTGCTACAGCTAATTAGCTGCTACATCCACGGCTACATGGAGCAGCTGTAGTTTTCTGGATGTGGGGGTGATTTCTAAAGTTTTAGCCGGTTGTCCAGTTGTTCCATTGAGCCATGCTAGCCGGAGCTAGCCCGCTGAAAGGCTGGATTAATGATAGTTGACGCAGTGAAGTAAAGCTGTTAGCTTTTAATCTCAGGAGGCAACAGAATCAACGATTGTTTTTAGATATAACGAACTGTTTACTATAATATACCAATAAATAATAACATCTGAAAGAAGGATGTTTAAAGTAAATGAATCTGATCTAATGGAATAATTGGAATTCCCTGTTTAAGGAAGTCTGTCAACATGCCAGAGTAAATATGTTAGTTTCTGGGCAGGAAAGCAGAGCTGTGGTTGGTATTTATTTAGTTCTTAACAGAACAATTGTTCAACTTTGGGTGTAGCTCTGCCTCCTGATCTCTGGCTGTAAAAGACAAAGGTCTTATTAAACTAACTGGCTGCTTTGTCTGTTCTATTGTTTCAGTAAATATGTGGGATTTAAACACTTAGAGGAACTCCATCTTGAAATGTTAGAGGTTTGTCAGTCCTGGCTGTAAATCTTATCCTTTCACTTTCAGCTACAGGCGGCCAGCTTTCAGGTCTGGCCTTAAAGCTGGGCTCTGAGTTACTCATTGTTCAGGTGAATAAAGGCCTGTCCCTCCCTCAGCAGGTAGAAACAACACTGTCAGCATTCACAGCAGCCTGTAGAGCTCTATTTACCATGGGACATTTAACCACATGACCAACAGTGTTAAGCAGGGGGGACCAATTACAAATCAGCAGGGTCTGAATAAAGAAAATCAAGACATTTCTAACTATAATCTGTTACTTTAAACAGAATGTAACAGTGAAATAAAATGAGGTGTTTATGCCTCCATGTTATACATTCACTTTTTAAATAAAAAATATTAAAAATAGAACATTTTTCAATTTTAAAATCTGAATTGTTTTTGAAGTAGAGAATAACAATCATCCAGTTTGGTTTATAGATAATTTCCTGATTCCCATATTTTCTCAAACCCCTGAATTGGTGGTTTGTTATTTTCTTTCTTTTTTCTGTCTTAATGTTGGCAGTGGGCTTTAGGCTGCCCTGCAAGGCTTTAAACCTGGGTTTAACCGGAGACTAAGC